GTATTAGGTATGTTTGCCACCTTGAGATATTTATAAAAATAAGAAAGGTGGAATAAAAAAAATCTTTTAAAAAAATTCTGGTTCCTGTTTAGCTGTATGGATATACAGTATACAGTAATTAACATTTTATGTTAAATAGTGGCAGATTGCCAGCACACATAACCAAACATTGCTAGCCACTTCAGTTTCTTAGGCAAAAAGGAGTATTCTTTCTGATTCATTGATGGATTGATTATGTACTATCAAGTTGGTGTTGACTCTTAGTGACCACATAGATTTTCTCCATGATGATCTGTCCTTGACCTGGCCTTTCAGGTCTTTCAACAGTGTAACAATATATTTAACACTATCTTTATACTGTCATATTGCTTTGCTAGTTTATTTGGTTTACCTTTGCTAGTACTTTTTGACAAATATTTTCTTGTTACAGAGATGGCTATTATCTGCCCTGTATTGTAATGTTTATTTATTTATTGCATTTCTATCTCACCATAATCCAAGCAACTCTTGGAAGCTTACATGATGTAGAAACATTAAAATAGCCACAGTAAATCTTAAAATCCAGTAAATGATTTAAAATTTAAAAAAAGAACCCACAGGGTCCAAGTAAACCAAGATAAAAATAAGGTAAGGTAAAACTAAATATAAAAAATGGCTAAAACTCCCTGTCTAGTTAGAATACTCTCTGGAACTGTTGAATTCTCAGCATCCTGAATGTTATCAAGGAGACTGTTCCAGAAGACTGGCACTGCCACTAAAAATGCAGCACCTCTTGTCTTCAGCTGTCCTCACTATCCAGAAGTAGAGAACTAAGAGCAGTTCTCTGTGAAAACACTATTTTCAAGCACTGTGTACCAATACACTGATCTTATTGTTTTAATTTAAATCTCATGGCTGTAGTCTTTGACACTGATTGTCCTTTACTTCTGATTACACTAATTTGGCAAAATACAAATATATACATAGACAACTGAATTAATAGCCATTTTCTAAAATGAATAAAATACTGTATAGATGTCAATACATAAAAGATAATATAGTTCACCTTCTTCCGTGTTCGATACCTTGACAATTCCTGCAACAGTAATCACATCACCTGGAACACAACTATCTACAAGATCATGAACCAATTCACATTCTATTGTCCGAGGAATTCTACCAGCTTCTCGGTGATCATCTGACATGAGCTCTTGAATCCTGGAATACCAAGTTAACAAAAATATACAGCCCAATAAGAAAAAAAAGACGTTACCACAGGTGGAGGAGAATGGAGATCTATAAATATTGAGTATTTAAACTAAGGTAGGTCAAAACTAGCATCCTGATTCTTGCTTTGGTTTTTGGAATACTAATATATTCCTGGCAAACCTCAGAGCTGAAGACAGGTTTAAATGAATTATAAATCAAAGATCCATGAAATCTTCTTTCTTAAAATACTGCCCCCCCTCCCCCACACACACACATCGTATGGAGAAAGCAGAAGAATAAGTAGCCAGAGCTCAAACTAGTTTTCTCACAATACCAAATCTATTTCTTACAGAAAAAAAGGGGATTGCTGCCTCTGGATTAAGGATAATTTTATAGGTAAAATTGAATATTTTATCTTTCAACAGGATTATTATTCAACATAACTTTTTAAATTACAATAAAAGGGTATAGAAATAAATGTAGAAGTAAATTCCTTCACATTACAAATAATTCATTACATTTACTGTAAAATGGCTTACAGTATAGTAGTTTATCAAAATGTAAATTTCTATTAATCTACAATTTCCAAAATATTAGGGAAACACTACATATTTACTTAATCGACTGCCAGTCCACTGTAACTGTATAAGGAGAACTTCTATCTGCAGTGAAGGATCGTCCATGACATTCAGGCAAAGGACACTGAAACACATTAATGTTTAAATTTAGCACAAAACAAGGTTTATATCACAGCCATATTTGTTCTGTTTGATTTGGGGAGGCTTGCATTTGTGCTTACTGAATCTTTCTTTCCATCATAAATAATACTCTTAAAATGAACAATAATTTGTAAGATCCATTTATCAAGATATGATTCGTGTCCTTAAATGGGCAGTAAAGCACACAGCATGAGAAATTGATTTTGGAAATTTAATCAAATTTTCTAAATATATTTAAATTTTATATAAAGTATACCATTACATCTTATTACTATAAATACTAGTCACAAAAAGTCAGAGGTAGCATTTTTGATTTTCAGTTTTTTTTTTTAATTACCTTTGTTGGAAGAGTGTATTTTCCATCAGGCAGAGGAAAACTCTGAGTATTTCCGCAAGAACTGCATATAAAGGCCATCTTGGTGCAGATGGGTTTAATGTTACTAACACGGACAACAGTCCCACGTAAAGCAACGTACTTCCCATAGCAATTAGCTCGAATATTCTTAATTTGAGTAAGTGGATCATAGTTGTACACTCTAAAAAAATTATTAAAATATATTTAAATAAAATTGATCTATACTAATAATTGTCCAATTCAGTGAGAGTTAATCCTGCTTAAGATAATAGTACTATTCACATAACAGTAACTGGTGAAAACAATGGGATTTTGGCTATGTATTCAACTGGTGATAAAAAAACTAAGAAGATTTTAATTTATCATAACTAAGATGTGTCACTGATTTAAATGAGAACTGAGTTTAATTTTCTCTAAATGGAGCCAATGCTTTATCACCTTTTGTAGAAGAAATATACTGAATGTATTAAAATAACATTTCTTTCTATTGTGACTCAGTCTTAGCCCAAATAAATTATAATTGTAGAAACTTATGTTTAAGTATCCACTTTCATTTATACTGCAAATTATTTCGGCAGGCCAAAATTCAGAGCAAAGCTGTATGTATGTACATATTTGGATGTTAATGCATTTTTATAGTTAATCACAAAATTAAAACATAAAAACTTCCTAGGAAGTTTTCTCATTAAGTTATTCTTACATAACATAATTGCTATATTCAGTTTAGGAACCTTTATAATGTCATAATTCTATCCCTTTCAGAAAATAATCTATTTCATATAGATCCAATTGTGCTGAAAATCGAAACATTTGATTCGCTGTCTTGAAATGTTTAGTCCTGCTACTTCAAATAAAAGATAATTTTCAAGATGTAATACTGTAATAATGTATGTTTTCTCTGAAGTTACTTCTGTGTGATTCATGGGTAACTATGGTTTCTGTAGAATAGTTTCCCAGAGATGACAAAATAGGAAACTGCATTTTGTTATAAAGTAGGAATGAAAACTTAAAATATTGTCCCCACAAATCAAAATAAACAGGACGATACAGTCAAGAAGCCCATCAAGGCATTTCTCTGAACTGTGGTTTGTTGGTAAATCTAAATGAGGGCAGAGAAATTAATCCTGCCTGCACTAATAGTACTATTGCTCTTGTCATTTCAGTTAGGTGACTGCTGGTACAAAGTTTAATATCAGCCCTTTCCGATACTCCAGAAATCAATCATGTTATCATTAAAATTTTCTAGAATTTTTTATGCAATCATTTTCTCAAAAATGTCAGTGACTTAAGACTTCTTGCCATTTCATACTCATATACAAGAAAGTTCACAAAACCCTTTAAAACATTTTTAGTTTTCTCATAATTAATTTAAAAAATAGATACCTCGCATGAATATATGGCACATTTATAATAGGCTCTTCATCAATGGGCAGCCCTTCTTGCTCCTGCAGTTTTGCAGCATGCTTTTCAAGGTCTTTGATCAATACCTAGAGGATAAAAAAGAAACTGCCTGATTTCCATGAGATAATTCATGGAGATAATTCATATAGAAAATTTTTTTAGAAGCAAATGGTGCTTCTGACTGTCAAAGGGAGGATTTTCTTGTAATTTATTTTGCTTTTCCACTGTAGTACCCATTGCCACCTGGTATACTATTCCAAAGGATCCCCTAGTCCCCACAATTGAGGTCTTTAAGCAGCCTCCGTAATTAGACTTAAAGACCAAGCTACTTAGCATTCTAAAGAAGAGTGTGTTCATGGGTGTAAAGCACCCTACCTCCAAGTCCTAATGCAGCTGTCTGATGAAAATTTGACACAGCTTCACAGAAGGCTGTTTCTAGTTCTCTGTGTATGAGAACTTCTGTTATAACTGTCAGCAAAGTTGCTGTGCATGCACACACATGTGCAGACACCCAGGGATAGCCTTTGAAGCAACTGCATGAGATCTCCAAATGATGGGATCACTTTTATACATGTTTTGCTCATGCTAGCATGCTTTTCAAAACAGGAAATCTTTTTGAATACATACACTTTTTCAATACATATGCAGGATTTCACTGTCAAGCAGAGTTATCAAATATACACACTCCTCCTTTCTTTTATTATTTTTATTCAGACAATTATTCAACTCTCAAAAATTAGGGAGTCATGCAACACAATCTTTCCAGGCCACTTCTTTTACCCCAAGGATGTAAACTAAAAGGTTTTTTTTGAAGTTTTGGGCTGAAACCTTATGTAAATTTTTAAGTCCTGTTGAATTCAGTCAGGCTCAATTTTAAGATATATATATTTATAGATAGTATTGTTATTCCTTTTTAGGAAAATAAATATAATTGTTCTCTCATACCAGATAGGATTTGCATTTTGTGAATAATAAGACTTTTGAATGTAAAAATGTCTACTATTTGTCTAATGCATTTACCTGATGTACAGCTAGGCCCATGCAGTCCAATATTTTTTGTGGTGTATCTCTTAATTCAACGGCAACATCAGGTAATGATTCCACTAATTCCTTATCACATATAAGTTCTTTATAATCCACAAGAATACTTCCTTTTCTTTCTATTTCATCCTATAAAATAAGAATGTGTGAATTTGTGATCAGTAAAATTATAACGTTACTGTTTGTTGTTTATTCCATAACACATTATCTTAATCATAGTTATAAGCTGTTGTAGCATTCTCAAATATTAAAGACCATTGAAAAATATTTTAATAAAAATACCAATTCCTGATTCAGCTGCCTCATATTCCAAAATATGTGTAGTCTGCATTATATGTGGATTATCTCACTTGTTTGTTGAACCTAGCAACACTGCTGATTATGCTTCCCTCTTTTCACTTTTGGCACACAATAAAGAGGATAAATCAGGTAAATCTGACTGAAAACTAACATACTCTGTGCAAATAGTTGAATATGTGAAGAAAAAAATGGATGTAGTTTAAGACAAGACCACCCACTTTTCTAAAAGTTTCCTGTCTGTCCATCCATCCGTCCATCCATCCAATACAAATCTTAGCATTAAACATCAGATCACAGACAGCTGGAGAACAAGGTTAAACAAATTTTCTAAAGGTTCTTATAGAATCGATTTGCTACCTCTCTTAGAAAAAACAAAATTAAAATGTTCTTAAATACCCTGAATCCTTGGATTCTCTCAGCATATAAATACAAGAAACAAACAAACAAATGTGTGGGGTTAAACCAGCTTCAGAAAACAAAAGTATCCAAAACAACATATAATCTAACAATTTACCTTATCATAAAACTCTATTCGAGATTTGAAAAATGTTTCAAAAGCTTCAGTCTTCTGAACAAAAGGTGAGTTGTCATCATATGCTGAATTAGACAATTTCCATTAATTAATACAGTTAATATACTTATGGCTCTAGATAACAATGAACATATAAAACATATTTATCAACAAAGGTACTGTTGATTTTACAAGCGAACCTTTAATATACTAACAAGATATATTTAGCTGCAGCTTTAAAAAATTCTTCTCAGGATTTAAAGACTCTTCTTGAATATTTACTACTAGGAATTTAATTTCCTCAAATAAATATAATCTTATTTTATTGACCATGTCTTATTTTTACAAACATTACTTTGACAGGAATTATCATAATAAAGCAATTATCAATTTAGAGCAAAATCTTGTTCATTCAAAAGTAAGCCTTACTATATTCATTGAGGCCTACTTCAAGGAAGCTACATGCCAGATGGAAAGTTTTAGGCTTGCCTAAATACACATGATAAACCAGGATTTAACCATCTTTTAACAAGCTACATAGCACTAAGCTGAAATGGGAGAATTCACATGCTACGCCAAAACCAACTGCATTAAGGTTAGCACAGGGTGTGAAATCCACCACTGACTGCTTAGTACTGCATAGCAATGAGCCGATATTAATGTCTCATTGAACTCCACAGGGTTACTTCATCATACATATGCAAAACTATTGAGCTGCATGACAAGGAAGCTAAATTTAGTGCTATTATATTTTAAAGCAGTTTTTATATGTAAAAAATTAAATAAGCTTAAATGAACTATCTGATCATATTCTAAAACACATCCTCAATTTATTCATAACCAATAGGGAGACTCAATCATCCATTAAGGAGGTTTTAGTTTGTGTGCCTTTCAAAATATTATATCCCTTTTTTATATAAATGGAGATTTGTTTACTGCAAACAACACAATTTACATGAACCACAAACTTGTGCATGAAACAAAATAAACCATACTGCTCCATATGCAAATCCAAATTCCATGATCAGGCAAAAGTATTTATTCTGCTTGTATTTTATTTTTATTTTATTTTTTATATAGCACCACAGATATGCATATGACTTTACATAAGTCAAATTTGGACATCACATTAAGTTGTGGTGGTGGTGTTTTTAGTGTTTGTCCCACTTGGTTGTAGTATCCACTTGTTTTGCATTGTGCTAACCTAGTTCACACTCAAAGCTATCAATGCATGATGTGATAAGTCTTGTTTTTCAGTTGGCTTGTTGTGGAGCTGTGATGTTATTATACTAAAATTAACCCACATGCTTGTTATTTCATCACACCCACTTAACTTCTTCAGTCTAATGCAATTTGTGTCTGTATATGTGAGAACATGCCACTGCCAATCCAGCACAAGGCTGATACTCCAGTCCTGGTTGCTTCATCCAGGCAGAGGAGGAATTTATGCAGGCAGTGCAGGAACAATTTCTGGCAGCGATCTTGCTTTGTATGTGCAGTCTAAAAAAACAAAAAAATCTGTGACCCTTTCTTCAAAATATGCTTATGGTCTCCCAAAGGGTCATGACCTACAATTTGTAAATCCCTCCTCTAGCCAGCTCTTGATTTTATCATCTACAGGAAAAAAAAAAAAACAACCCTTACCTTCAGAGAAATAAAGTTTCCAACCTTTACATGGAGTAGCCTGATCCAGCGTTGTTTGAATGAGACGAGGTTGTGCTGAAAAGTATCCCCTCAAAAAGTCAGTGATAAAATTGAGCATTTTTAATTTGTTGTTAAAAACAATTTATATACAACATACTATAGCTGAAAATGACACCCAAAATGATAAAGATAACTGCCTGTACTGTACACAGGAACAACTTTGCCATAAGTTTCAGTTTTAAAAACTTCATTTAAATTATAGCACAGCAATCCAGATTTCAGACATTGTATCATGCTATTTTAAAACACTTTTTTTCCAACAACCTATTCTAGTTTTTTTTTTAAGTCTCCAAAGCAGTTAAAGTCATGTAGGGATGGTCCTGTGATGTTATTTGGGATGAGTTTGATTCTGTCAGTCCTGAGGAAGTGAACAGATCCTTGGTGCTGTGGGTACAGTCGCCTGTGTTTTAAATCCATGGCTGGCCAAGGCCTCCAGGGAGGGGGCCATGTGGTGGTGAATGCTTACTTGAGAAAGGGAGTGATCCATACCCTCCTTAAGAAACCATCACTGGATCCTACAGATCAGAAGCCAATTTCCAACTTTCCCCAGAAAGGAAAGGTTGTTGAGAAGGTGGTTGGTCTACAGCTCTAAAGGGTCCTGGAGGAAGTGGATTATCTGAACCCTTTCCAGTCAGGTTTACTGAGATGGGTTTGGTTATGCTTCTATGACCATGAATGACATGTGGCAAGCTCGGATGGGGGTAGTGCATCCATCCTAATCCTCGACATCTCAGTGGCCTTCAATGACATCAACCATGGTATCCTTCAGAATCAGCTTAGGGGGCTGGGAATCAGGGATACTATTTTGTAGTAATTCTCCTTCCTCCAGAACTAGTTCTGATGGGGGGGACAGCCTAGTCCTAGACTTTTGCTTTGCAGGGTGCCTCAGGACTCTTCCCTCTACTGTTTAACATATACACAAAGCTGCTGGGTAAGGTCATTCACCAGCATGGGATGAAGTATTGTCAGGATGCTGATGAGATCCAATTGTACATCTTGGTCCCTGCCCACCCAAGTGAAGCTATCAAGCTCAGTTCCTGGAGGCTGTGGGGGTCCGGATAGGGAAGAACATATTTCAGCTCAACCTTGTCAAGACAGAGTGGCTGTGGGTTTTGAGTCCAACAAGTTCTGGAATTGGAGAGACTGTATCCTTGACTCTGAATAGGGTTGTACTGCCCTGTGCAGATTCAGTGTGCTTCTGAACTCACAGCTCCTGCTGGCAACTTTGGCCGGGGGGGCGGGGACTTTGCGCACTGTCCTGTGCACCAGTTGCATCTGTTCCTGGACTGGGGTGTCCTGCTCACAGTCATTCACAACTTAGTCATCTCCCAATTATATTATTGCAATGTGATCTACATGGGGCTGTCCTTGAAGATCATCCAGAAGTTTCAGTTGGTCCAGAAGGCAGCAACATGGGTAGTTACGAGTGTCTCTTGCTATGCCCATGTGACACCTCTACTCTGCAAGCTGCACTAGCTCCCAGTAGGCTTCAAGGTGAAATTAAGGAGCTGGTTATCATTTACAAAACCCTATATAACATAGAATCAGGTTATTTGCAGAACTACCTGCTCCCAAGGGTAACTGCTCATCCCACACACTCCAACAGTGAGGGAACACTCTAGGTCTTCTCATTGAAACAATGTTACTTTATGAGACCTAGGAGATGTGCCTTCTTGGTGGCAGCCCCTACCTTTTGGAATTATCTTCTCCCCAATATATGGTTGGCCCCGACCCCGCAGGCATTCAGAGCCAAAGATAAGCAGAGTTCCCAATTGGATGAGTTAAAATATATTTTAGTTGTGGTTGCCATTTGTTTTAGCTGTGCTTTTTATGGTATGTATTGTTTTCCTCTGTGTTTGGTAACTTTTGTAGAATGCTCAGAATCATGCTGCTTTACTTGGGCAGTCATATAAGCGCTATAAATAAATAAATAAGCAAGCAAGCTGTGGAATTAACGTACCTGACACTAATTTCCCAGCAGCATTTTTCCAGTTTTCTTTCTGTCCACCTCCTTTTCCTCTCCCTTGCCATCTTCCTCTTCTCCACCTTTGAAAACCACCCCCTCCTTGTCCAGAACCTTTCCCACTTGTCTCAGTACTCATCTTGGCACTCTAATGGATCTGCATTCTGAATTAATTAAAAGACAATACATGTTAAATTCCTTTTTAATTTTGAAAGTAGTTATAGTAATGCAGCCATCAGTTTGTTTTTATGGCAGTGTTTGCACATCACTGTCACAGTAACTCAGGCTCCTGACCTCTAGCCCCTCCATATGGCCCAAAGGTAAATATCTGGCTAGGTTTGTACATCATACTACACCATGGTTTAACTATGTTTTATTGAATAAATCACAATTGGATGGCTTTGCACAATGCATTATACCTTTGTTTACAAAGACAAAGGCTAGATTCACACAGCATACCAGGCCCAAACCAAACCAGTAATATTATGGATAAGCTTCCTACTGTATGTGAATCTTCAATGTCGAATTATCATTTCCAGGTATTAACTGGGCCTGCTAAGAATAGAAGTTCAACAACATCTAGAAAATTTCAATTCCCTATCCCTGACCCATTAATTACCATAGAAAGTAAAACTGATCTACAAGAACTTCTGGTATGGTATAATCCCATGTTTGTTGAAATTGGATCCAATAGGCATAGAACACAAACAGGATCAGAATGCACGCGTTGCAAAGCTACTTAGGAATCAGGGTTACTTTCAAATATTGATAGCATTGCACAATGTGTGCTCAAGACAGCATTTCAGTACAAGAGCAAAACCATTAAAAAAACTTTCTACATATAACTCTTAAAAGAAAACACTGATTTAAACTGCTGCTAATCAGAAGACGCCTCCTCGTCTCCCTTTCCTTCTCATAATAGTCCTTAAGCACACTCCGTGGAGTCAGGATTTTAAAAAGGAATTTAAGCTAATTCTCAGGGAAGCTGGTCAACCTATACCTGGTGTCCGTAACTTCAGATAGAAAGGACGACTCACATAATTGGGCGCTCCTCCATTTGAGAAGAAACAAAAAAGACACTCTCAGCGCAGAAAACGGCAATTCCGTGGGAAAACTCGGCTAGATTGCGTCCCCCGAAAGCCTCGCTTTAGATGTTCCAGTCCCAGTCGCCGGTGAGTGCAGAAGAGAGGGAAGCGAAAACTTATCCGAACGAAAGCCGAGGGCGACTGCCACGGTGCCTCAAAACGTCCCCAGTCGGACTCGCCTGAATCTCTTCCCGTCAGTTCTCCTCGTTGCTATTCCGTTTCATTTTGGCGCGGGGCAGTGAAGTTTCCCTTGGCGTCGGGCACTCAGAACCAATCAAAACTGGCGCCGCTCTGTTGCCATGATTCCGTCGCGAGCTCTCAAAAACGTAAGCGGGAAGGCAGGAGCAGCAGGAAAGGCAAGTCACGTGGGGTTATTGCGTCCCTAACACTCCAGTGAGCGCTCAGGCTTATACTTCTTGCTGATTTGGAAGAGAGGAGTCGCGTCTCGCGTACTCTTCCTTTCTCTTGCTGGAGAGAGACTTAAGAAGGTTGAGCTTCGAGGGGGAATCTTGCCCCCATTTGACTGGACTCGAGGCAGCGAAAGCATGGGCCTCCAGATATAATGGAGCTGGGGCCCCAGGCGACTTGACTACTGGGGAAGGACGTAGTTTAGCCACGCTGTACAGTCACGTTTCTCCCCTGTTAGGTTCATATTACATTGAAGCTCCAAGGAGCCTGCGATGACTTCTTGCATGCTTCCAAAATAAATAAAGGGTTAAACTGGACACTTCCTTAGGAGGAGTGCGGGACAGGAAAAGTAAGAGAATTTGGGAAGAGGTGTGAGAAAAGGAGCTTCAGCAAAAGGAAAAAGGAGACGATCAGTATGTAGAGATTGATACTCCTTCTGAAAAAGTAATTTGTAGTAAGCATGAAGTTCTGTACCTCTAAACAGAAACCAATTCCCATATTATCCGCACTGTTATTGTTAAATAAAGTTTGCACTGTTGAAAAACGACTGGTGCTGAGTATATGAGAGAACATAATCCCACCATGTTATCAGAAAAAGTTGATAAAAGAGGAAATAAACTGTAGTAAACTAAATAAACTAAAACTTTGAAAATTATATGGTCCTGGCGTGTGCCAATGCAGCCGATATGTCAGCTATTTTCTTCCCAGTAGCCCTAACCGCAGCGCAAGAGATTCTCTTCTGTCTCTGTTTTTAGTCAAATTCTGCTTGGTTTTTCAAGTATTTATATGACCTCTGTGCCTCCTGGCAAATTAAGCCTCTCCGGGGGAGGGGGGCGACAAATCGAAGTGGCGTTTTGAATGGAGCAAACCAATGATCGGACTCTAGGCATGTGCTGTTAAAATATGGACACATCTATTCTTCCGCCCGTGGTCTGGGGAATATTTCTGTGATTAAGCCCTTTAAAAAAAAAAAAAGAACATTTTGCACACGAAATGATTGTGTGCCATAGCAGCACGTCCGGCCCGAAATAGGGTTGTGTAACGGAGCCCCGAAGTTCCAGCTCCGTAAATTAAATTAGCAATCTTCTATTTTTCTACCTCTATGTTGTAAACTAGAAAAGAGTTTCTACATAGAGATGTCAAATTATAGAGCGGCCATACCAATCTTATGAAAAGAAATCCCTAAGTGTGCCAGAGAGTCGTCGGCGATTGTAGTTGCCCGTTTTTACCGTTCGCTCAGACTCCTTTTCACGTCGCCACTATGGCACCAGTCAGGATCAACATGGCGCTAGCGCCTCTCTATCCCTCGATCTCTATGATGAAGTCCCAACAGACAAACCGCTCTTCAGAAGAGGAAGCGAAGCCGCTTCCGTGATTCGTGCCTTTGGGGAACACCGGAAGAGGGTCTTTCCTGCGTTGGCGCATGTGCACGAGGTTTTTTTGTTTTTCGTTTTTGGCGTAGCGCGCAAGGGCCTTCGGAGGGGCGCGTGGGGGTTCGTTCGCCATGGAGGGCGCTCCGCGGTCGGCGTCTCCGCATGTAATCTGCGAGGGAGACTGGGCTGTTCTCAAGCGGGACGACGTGTTCAAAGCGGTCGCCGTGGTGAAGCGGAGGTGAGCCTCCTGTTAGGGTGAAGCGGAAGGGAATGACCAGCTCCCCCTCTTCACCTTCTGCAGCCCTTTATTTCATTTGGCTTCTTTCCTAGGGAAAGTCCGTTGCTGGAACTGGCCTTTCCGTAGTCCCTTATGCCTAAACAGGGAGGGTTACCCCGTGCATATCACCCAGCCTGTTGGTTATTATAACCTATAACAGTGTTTCCCAAACTTTTTTCTCTCAGGACCCCTTCCCACTTTTAAAAATTGTGGACGACCCCAAAAAAGCTATTGTTTGTATGGGTTATAATTATCGATATTAAAAATTAAAATGGATGCACTCGCTGCCGCTGCTGCTTCTCACGATCGTTTGATGGGATTTTAATACTGTATTTTTTTTTCACCATAGGCTGGCAAATCATATTGATTTTGTATACCCCTGAGCGGGTCTTGGGAGACCCTGGTTCGTGCTACCAAGCAAAAGCCTGTATTTCTCAGTGCTTGTGAAGCTTTAAGCTGCCGATGCTTTTTCCTGAAGGGTTTTGCTACATGCAATTACTAATTCTTTCATTTATCAGGAGTATGAACCCTTACAGAAGATCTCAGTGTCTACTTCTGTTTCTCTCCCTCCATGACTAAGGGAAAGGGCAGTTTAGCTGAGATCAAGCTCTTCATGAGAGAGGGATGCCACACAATTAAGGGCTTGAGATGAGTAGGCCTCCAGGAATAAGGGGCAGCAAGATGACATTGGTGGAGTCATTGTGGAGAACAGACAATCTCCACTTCTAAGGATGGTGAATTGGCAGTAAATTACAGTTACAAATAAATGCCAGTTCAGAACTTCCTACCCAGACTGCAACATCCTTTAGCAAGATTTGCCATTGTCATCTAAATTGCCCTTTCTGGCAAATCTTTTTTAAAAGGTACTTCTTTTTAAAAACCTCAGTATTTCCAAAATGTCCTTAGGAGGTGGGACTTGCTTTCAAACTACAGGTTCATGATTTTTTCAGACAGGATTGCAAATATACATATTTAGAAGATTCCTTAACTTAGAAGAGGTGAAATCAGCTATAATTTAATTTCTTGAGGATTTTATTTAAGGTGAAAATTGGAGTTTGGGATGACTGCTAGGGGAAGAAGACTTTGTGGTTATGACTGAGTTATGCAGATTCCACAGAAACTTAAGTATTATTCAGTCGTAATAAGAGAAAGTGGTGTATGGGAAAGAAGGAACTGCACATGCCAGCCTTGTCTCTTCACCTCCCCATCTGAGCAGGAGGGTCTGAAGCTTTCATTGGAATGAGAGCTGAAGACTCCACACATCAGGGAATTGGTGCATGAGGTTTTTAATGGGACGATGGGTTCTGTTTGCACTTGCATGTGGAGTTCTTTATTCTGTGTGCCTGACAGTTTTTCAGGGATGAAAAAACAACTACCTCAACCTGTATTTTTGAAAATAGAAAATCCATTGGTTACTTAAACCAATTATCATCCTTAGGTGAAACACATAGGATAGTAGTAGAGAGAAATGACAACTTTCACATTAATGAAGCTGGGAATAGTTTTAAGAAATGTGTTATATTAAAAAACTAATATGATTTTTTTTAATTGGGAGAAATATTGCTGTTCTAATGGAATTTCAATCTTCTTGAAAGGGGCAGCATTGTTCTTTGAATTGCGAGAGGACTGGCCCTCATCTCCGGACTGGCAGTGGAGTTTCCCAGGCTGAGAGTGCTGAGGGACTTTAACTTGTTGCCTTGAGAGAGAGTCAAAAGTGGCTTGGGAATTCATGGCCATCATGACAGTCATGATCTTGTCTGAGGTTATCATAGATGCAACTTGTATGGGAGGCTGCACACTAGATCTGGTTTCTGGTTTTCATTTCAGAGCAAATGCAGTATGTTGATGGAGAAGAGCATTAACATGGTCAGATCACTCTTTGGTCACTAGGGAGTTGTCTGCCACCAGCTTCCTCAGGAAGTTGGCTTGGGTCGTCTGCTGGAACATAGAGATGGCTGCTCAATTAAATTGGAAAGAGTGGGGCCCCTTCAGGTTCCCCTCTTAAAGAATGTCATTTATAGGGTTCTTGGAGGCAGTCCTTTTCAATCACTGCCCCCTTTTATCAAACAGCATCCCTCTGGATATTCAACTTGCCCTAACTTTATTGGGATTCAGAAAAGCATTTAATACCTGATTATTTCACTAGAACTTTGAAGAGGAGATAAATTGATTCTGCCTGTCTATGAGTTATAATGGCTATTATGGTTTTTTATGGTACCTCATCATAGAAATAGGTTTCTATTCTATTTCTATAAAATGTTTCTATTTTATGAGGTTGTCTATTAGTTTTAATCCTATTTATATATGATTGGATTGGGAGTCACTCAAAGTCAGTCACTTATTAAAGTGGCATATAAGCCTAGTAAAATAAATAAATATTCTTGTGGTTTTAATTTACTTGCATCTTTTGCTCAGTAACTTATGACTATTTCAGCCTACTTGCACTTGAAACTGGAGTTGAATATACTACAATTCATGTCTGGCATTTTATTTCTTTTTCAGGTTTTGGGTCATGAACATTCCTGGGTTCTAGGTTTCTAATTGATTTATCAATGTTTTTGTTTTCAGAAAAATTATTTTTGAAAAACAGTGGTTCTGCCTAGATAATGCTATTGGGCATGTTTATGGAACAGCATTTGAAGTGACTAGTGGTGGTAGTCTTCAGCCAAAGAGGAGGTTAGAAGAAATGAATCCAGGTATGAAGCAGCAAGAAATGTATAGAATGTGTGTATTTTGATATTACAATTCTATCTTGGTTAATTAAGAATCTCTGCCTATCTTATAGATGTTCAATGAATTATTGGCAAGGCTGTAAACTGTAAACTATAATGAAATGTATATAACTAAATAGAAGATTGGACTCAAACTCAGGTTTATCAGATATATTTGATGGTCAGTACAAAAACTTACAAAGTAAAAAACATGAAATGTCTACTTTTAGTAGCTAAATTAATTATTAATAAACAGTGGAAGTATCTAAATAATATTCCATTTGATTGTTTGGTAAGACCTGGTTTATAGCATTTACTTGAGAAAGTTTCTATTGCTTGACAATGCAAAGTAGCAAATCATGATTCCTTGAGGAACTGTGATCTTATGGTTTATTTAAGAGATAAGCATCCTTACAATGGCGTTATGTGAGAAATTATGGGCAAATTAAAATATACTAGCATCATTCAAATGTTAAATTTAATCAAGAACATTTTTAAGAATCATTTCATTTGACAAAAAACAAACATGAGCACCAATCAAGTGAAAGGATGCTATAGTAACTCTTCCCTTTGCCTGATGAACAAGGGTTTAATTCAACCTAGTTTCCTGTTTTGTCTGTGTTAAATGATTATACAGTAGAGTCTCACTTATCCGACATAAACGGGCCGGCAGAACGTCGGATAAGCGAAAATGTCGGATAATAGGGAGGAATTAAGAAAAAGCCTATTAAACACAACTACGTTACTTACGTTGACACGCACGTAAACACTGCACAGTAACACACAGTAAACCGATCCGCATACAATAACAAACTGCACTGAGCGACCGTTAGGAAAGGCGAGAAATGACCAACACATGAGTCATAGGCTAGACGTGCGCGCCTGCTGCACCTGTTGCAATTGATTTTTGTGTTGCGGCGCCGCACCGTCAGGAGCAACAAGAAAGAGTACACTCGCAAACAAGCGGCACACTTTTCTCGTTGCCGATTTATGCATGTTGTGTTTTTTTTTAGGGGCATCGGATAAGACGGAATGTCGGATAAGCGAAGGTCGGTTAAATGAGACTCTACTGTAGTACCAGTTAGAAACCATCTACGATATTAAATAATGTTTTTTTTAAATCTTTAGTAATAGTTCTTATAAGAGTATTTTTCCAAGTAATATTTCACAAATCTATGTTTTTATTTTTTAAAGAAACAAAAGAGGCGGGTACAGATAATCGTAATATAATTGATGATGGAAAATCTCAAAAACTGACTCATGATGATATAAAGGCTTTGAAGGATAAAGGCATAAAAGGACAGGTAATCTTGTATTCTCAATTACATATTACTGTGTCCCTTCTTAAGTCAGTACTTTCTGTTTAGAAAGCTATGTTGCTAGGAACAGTTACAACTAGAATCCTTTTCTGTTGAAGAATATGAACCAGTGTAGTATAGTGATTAAAGTTTTAGATTTGAACTGAGGAAACACAGATTTGTGTTCCTCCTCAACCAAAAAAAATCACTGGATGACTTTGGACCAGTCGGTGTCTTTCAGCCCAATTTATGCATCAGAGTAGTGTTGGGATAAAATTAGGCTAGAACCCCATGTATGCTACCTTTTGCTTCCAAAGAAAAAGCAGGATATAAATCTAATAAATAAGAAAAGAGAAGTCACCTTTCTATACTAAATACCAGCAGCTCTTCTAAAAGTCTTGGAGAATTGAAGAATTGAATCTGGGACTTATTTCATGTAAAGTATGAACTTTACAACTCGACTATATTTCTCTTCTCTGGTTCTTGACTGGATGATGTGTATCATGACCATAATGCATGGAATGCAAGATCCATTCATGTACCATAAAATAAGTCAGTGGCACTGCTTTTTCTTGGGGCTGCATGGTTCTTTGGATTGTTTATGGCTAGATATTGGCTTCACATTTGCTAGATGGATTATTAAATTGAGAATAAATGTATTTCCTACTTTTTGTGTGTGTGTGCGTGTGCCTTCAAGTCAGTGTTGACTCCTGGTAACTGCCCGAACAAATCCCTGCAGTTTTCCTGGCAAGTTTTTTTTTTTTTCCCAGAAATGGCTTGCCATTAGCTCCTTCTTGGGGCTGAGAGAGTGTGACTGGCCCAAAGTCACCCAGCTGGCTTTGTGCCTAAGGCGGGATTGGAACTCATGGTGTCTTGGTTTCTAATCTGGTGTTTTAACCACTACACCAAACTGGCTCTCCTATTTTCTAGTTGGATGCTCATTAGTCACTATTTGTGTACTGGGGATTTTTTTTTTTTTTTTTGGTTAACAAATGCTTTACAAATAGCTATAAAGAATAGAATGATTAACTTATCTTTTTTAAAGGAAATAGTTCAACAATTGATAGAGAACAGCACCACGTTTAGAGACAAAACAGAATTTGCCCAAGATAAATACATCAAAAAAAAGAAAAGAAAGTAAGTTGAATTTTAGAAAATAGAATGTTTAGTGAATCACAAATTATAAGTAGCTTTAACACAATTTGTTTATTTGTGATGCTTTGCTTACAGATATGAGGCAGTTATTACTATCATAAAACCATCTACTCGTATTCTGTCAACAATGTACTATGCAAGAGAACCAGGAAAGATCAAGTAAGCCTTAATGTATTTCAATCATATGGGAAATCTGGGAGGCTACATCTAGCAGTAAATGAGTGAACAGATGTCCTTCCACCAGTGGTCACAGACAGATACAACCAGCGTGTAAAACATGAGAATCTTCCTGACAGAATATAGTTTGCAATCATCTGTGTATATATTTTAAAAAATCATATGAGATTCTGGTGAGGGCTACCACCTGGACTAGAATTTATATTAATCATATCCTGCATGAATTTCCAATAGATGTTTGTTTTGTTCTCTCAAAGCTCTTCTTTTCATAGAGGAAGCCAAAAGCACTCAGCTGTAGGTTTGTGCAGATTTCTTTTTCTCAGCAGTGCTACATAAACCATTACGGAGGATCTCAAGAGCTGAAAGAAAAATGAGTGAAAGCATTTTTCAGCTTTCATCCATAACACCACCAGTTTTGCAGGGGTTTCCTCCACACAGCTCTGGATTCAACATGAACTTTTGTAATACAAATCTCAGGTTTTAAATTTTGGTAATACCTTTGAAACTCACAGAGAAAAATGTTCAAGATAAATCTCATTGAAATGTGCAGATCTTTTGTGGATGAAAGGCAGGCCTTTCTTAACCTAGTTTTCTTCAGATATTTTTGTTTCCAATATCCAATAGTCTCAACCAGGATGGTCTGTGGTCAAGAAATATGAAAGCTATTGTCCAAATAACCTGAAAGGATGGTTTGAATATAAATATTTCTGAGACATTATAGGATTTTCTTTCTTATTAAAAGACAGAAATTAAACCTTGATGTGCTTTTTTCAATTTGCTTAATGTTTAAAATAAATTTAATAATGCCTTTTCATGTAATGTGGTCTTCCAGAAGATTGTGTCAATCCATTGATTCCCATTACTTAGATTGGTTTTTTTTTCATGGTAATTCTCACTAACCAGTTAAAACATTAATAGAAGCAACAAAATAAAGCAACAAAATAGAAGGAGAGACTGAGTATATTGTAATAGATTAGGTATACAGATAGTCCTCGACTTACAACCATTCATTTAACAACCGTTTAATGTTACGGCAGCACTGAAGAAAGTGACTTATGACTAGTCCTCGCACTTACAACCATTACAGCGTCCCCACACCCACATGATCAAATTTTGGGCGCTTGGCAACTGGCATGTATTTACAGTGGTTGCAGTGTCCTGGGGTCACGTGATCACCATTTGCAACCTGCCAGGGGGGCTTCCATCAGGCATAGTCAGTGGGGGAAGCCAGATTTGCTTAACAGCTGCATGATTTGCTTAATGACTGTGGTGCTTCACTTAACAGCTGCAGCAAAAAGGTTGTAAAATCAGGTGTGACTCACTTAACAACCGCATTGCTTAGCAACAGAAGTTCCAGTCCCAATTGTGGTCGAGGGCTACCTGTACATTGTAAAAGAGCAAGCCGAATTCAGACAGACTTATGATTCATGACCCACAGAAGATTAATTTGAGAACAAAATGTTTGACGTTGGAATGTTTAATAACTGCATTCTTGTTTTGAGAGGCTTACAAAAGATGCCATTCTCTTTCCTCTCATATATAATGGGCAGAGAGTATTTAACATTATGACAAGAACCATTATGTCATATTCAGTACTTAGCAATCATATTCACAGAATGGATCACCTGTTGCCCAACCTGGTAATAGTTATAACTGGACCCCAGAAGAAGGCCTTCTCTTTAGCAGCGCCTGCCCTCTGAAATGAAGTTCCCGCAAGATCCACATAGCCCCCATTCCACTGTTCCTCAGAAGAGCGGTGAAGACCTGACTTTTCACCCGGATTTTGGCGAGAGAGAGTGAGACCCCTTGCTTCATTCCATCTGGCCATATTTTATCTTTTATTGGTTTTATTGTAATTTCTTTGATTGTTGCAAGCTGTCCAGAGTCATTGGGACTCAGGTGACATACAAGTTTAATAAATTATTATTGATCACGCAGTCGGCCAGATGTTTAGACTGGATTTGGCATTTTTATCCCCCTATCGAGTCCTTCCCAAGGACCTGGGATAGGTAGATGTTGTTTGAAGATGATGATGATGATGATATTATATTATTATAAATAAATATAATTTTTTGTACTCTTAAGAATTTTAAGTCACAACAAAGGTAAAATAGGTTTTTTTTTCAAAATGTCCTAGCTATTTGCGGTATGATACTCTAGCCCAGATGTTAACTTGGGGAAATGTTCATGCTGGCAGCAAGATGATAGTAATGGAAACCTGTGCAGGATTGGTGCTGGGAGCTGTAATGGAACGAATGGGAGGTGAGAACAGCAGAATATAATGAATAGAACTGGGAGTGGAAGCTGTAATGGGAGTGTGAACATTTAATAGTAATGTTTCTATGGTAGAATAGAACATTTAGAAACATTTTGTTTCTAAAACTAGCATTTTTTTTCTTACATTTAAGCTGAATTAGCAACTTCCCAAACAGAATATTCATTACAAAATATAAAGACCCAAGAGAAGTAGAGAAATAAGATGCTTCTGAAAAACACTTGTGTTTTCTCCTCCTGCTTCATTTACTTTTGTTTAACCACTATTTTCAAGTTTTATGTAGATTGAAGTAAGCAGATAAAGGGAAATCTCTGTTATTGTGGTCATAGCTATTGCTTGTTAGAACCGTTCACTGAATTTAGCTTGAAGAGCTAGTTTAGATGTGTCTGCTTGGGTAAGTTGGCTCGAATTTTCAGTTTGCTGCTTTTGATTCGTTTTGCCCCATTCCATTTTATAAATGTTTTTGGAACTCAACTGAGCTTCAAACACATTTGCATGTGAGAACCAGGCAAAGCAGATGCTCTAATACAAAAACTCACCAACTTCCTGGATGGCCAAGTTTGTGAAAGTGGGCCTGGGCAAGTTCAAATAATCTTTCACTTGCCCATAGTGATTTGAACTGAAATCACCTGTAGATGCTTGTGTAAACCTCCACATTGCTTGGATTTTCATCATATGAATAATGCATTATTTGCACAGATGAATGTGTCAGGTGACCAGTTTTGAAAAACATTCTTTAAGATGCTGTGAAGGTCTGTAAATGACTCCTGTTTTTTTTTTCATGCAGGTCACTACTGTATTTGAGGCAGAATAGTTTGTTTAGAGTGTCACAATGTACTGGTGTGAACCTAGTTTATGCTGGCCATATTTGACTTTGATCTGTACTTGCAGGTTACGGATCCCTTGTTCAGATATATCCAGGAGAAGGACCTGTTAGAGCAGCCACAAGTTGTTTTGGATTTCCTAAATCCTTTTTTGATACTCTCTCTGAGTTCCCCCTCAGCAAAGTGGGCAGCGTTCTCTCTGGAACATTTTCTTTAACATCATTGCCTTCAGAGTCTGAAGAGAATATGCCAGTGGCAGAAGACAGAAACAGGTCAGGGGATGACAAGAAACTTTCCATACCAGAAGTAGAATGCAGTCCTGAGATAGCTATGGAGAGCAGTCAACCTGAAGATCAAGAAATAGTGGAATCGGATGCACTTGACAATAAAGCCAAGGGGACAGTAAGATCCTACCATTTTTTTTGAGGTTTAAACTTAATTAAACAACTGAGCCTATTGCTATTTAAATAAGTATGTTTCTCAACCCAAAGAGTCACATTGCAGTATCAGTTATTAAATGAATGGTTACTCTGTTATGCTTGTCTGCATTATATGTTAATTGCAAGGCCTTTTGATAGAAATCAGGTTCTATCAGGTTGATAGAAATGTAATAAATGCAATGTACTCTGGATTGCTAAAGATAGTAATAGTACCAGAATAATTTTATCCATTGTGAATTATTTTGGGGGTAACTGTGATTTCTGTTGACTTTAAGTTGGCTATAGGTTAAATATGTCAAAGTCTAAAGCTGATATATAGCAATGTAAGTTATGTTAGGATTAGAATTTAAGATATTTTGCTGTTTGGTTTTATTGCAGTAGTGTTTAAAATAAATACATTTTTTAAGTTTAGTAAAATATTTAATCATTTAAAATATTTCAAATTGAAGCACTAGAATACATTTTGTTATCTTTAACAATTCTACTTTATCTTTCAAATAGAACTTTAAATTTGAGGAAGAAATTAGAAAATGAAGCCCAAAGCAGCCTATAAATAATGTGTGTAATTTTGCAAAATACTACAGAAATAAAGGTTTTTAGAACTTCTTAAAACACTTAACCTGAATTCATACATATTTTTAGACACACAACAAACAAAAGAAACAAGAGGAGAAGAAGAGAAAGCTGATAGAAGCTGCTGCTTTATTGAAACAGAAGGATGCTGATGGGTGAGAGTTCTGAACATGTCCAGAAATACCTTGTTGTGTAATTGCTTTTAAAAGAGAATTTGCCATTTTTTTTTTTAAAAATGTAATTGGATGTTAGTAGTTCCATGGTTTGTGAGTGAGGGGTAATTAGCTTGAAGCTTAAAGCCAAGGCTCAGCCCTTTCTGGGTTTTCCTTTTTCATTAGTCTTTAAATTTCTGTGTTAGATCAAAAGATACTGTAAGTGGCCAAAATATTTTCAGTACTAAAAGGATGACAACAACCCATACCAATTATTTCTATGACAGAGAGGATTACCAACACATCAGCTGTGATGAGTGGCTCAGCCTATCTATTGTATTAAAGATAAAACTCCTTATATTAGTAGAAGGAAAATAACCAATGCATTAAAAGAGAATGATTTAGATCTAAAATAAACTTGAGGAAATTCATGAAAAGTTTTTTTTTCCTAATCCCTTCCTGTGATTACCTGCATCTGAGAAAAGCCTCTCTGATATGGCCCTCTTTAATGTGGTGCTTCTGGTCAGGGCAGCAGCATTTCCTCACATTTTGGCAAATCTCCACCTGGTTTTACAACACAGAGATCACCACCACCATAGCTTGGAGCCTGTTCCTTCCATTAATTTTTTAGATTTAATCTGGGATCCAAACTGTTGTTATATGTGTGCACAAACATATTTCTACTTCTTTAGAAAAGAGTTGATCATCCTCAAACCACACTGGCTTGGTGGTAAAAATATGAATGAAGGGAAATAAGCTTTGCCAGACTTTCAAATTCATTTTCATAGCCCAAAAGTAACAGCTTCTTTGATGTTTAGAAATGCAGCTAACCTGTCTCTAACTTTCCATTACAGTTTAATTGTAGCCAGTCGATTTCATCCAACAAGTTTATTATTCCTGTTGTTAGACTTGGTAGCTCCTTCGAGACCTTTTGTTGTCTACTGCCAATATAAAGAGGTAAACCCAGTATGTTTTCTTACAATTTTTAAAGATTTTTCAGTAAGTTCGTATAACCAAATTTTCTTGTTTTAGCCACTACTGGAATGTTATACAAAACTGAGAGAGAAGGGTGGCGTCATCAATCTGAAACTTTCTGAAACATGGTTACGAAACTATCAGGTAAGAATTACAGATAAATATGTACCATAAAAAATGCAAATAAGCCAGGGAAATTATGCATCTCTGGTTAAAAAGGGTATGAATATTTGAAATTTTGAAATAATGGGGTGGGGGGAATAGAGAATAGGGGGAAAATAAAGGGATCATTGTTCAGACTATGCAGAATAATTCAATATTATTACTATTCTCTTTGATTATTCACTGATGAACCCACCACCAATTGTAATATTTTATCTTGTTTTGTTTTTACTTATTTTTATTTTTAATGTGTTTTTGTTTGCAGTTCTGGATTGTAATAAAAATATTCAATTTGATATGATCATTAATTCATAATTCATCAATGTAGAATAATGGTTAGAACTTCATTTTATGCCATTTCTGCAACATGACAAATCTAATTGACTTCTTCAATGTCTGATTTTTACATTTTTGTTTAGTGTGTTTGCATATGTGTGCGTCTCCTTGAAATCTTTTATTGCTGTTGGATCCACGGGCCTCACAGAATGTGCTATTAGTACTGCAACTGTTACACAGCTTACTTGCTATTTCTTGTTTTTTGTAAAGATCTTGCCAGATCGAAGTCATCCCAAATTGCTTATGAGTGGTGGTGGTGGATATCTACTGATGGGCATCACTGTTAGAAATGAAAACATAAATACTAATGACTGCTTAGAAGAACCATCCTCTAAAAAGCGTAAGCTTCAAGAACACCATTAATACTTTAAGAAATTATCCTTGCGTTCTATTACTAACTGTATTTAAAGGCACAGAAGAATGTACTTTGTTTTCCATTTGTGACTGAAAGTTCTTTTTTTAAATAAGACTGTCAGGTTCAACCAAATGTTGGAATCCTCTATTGCCAACGTCATTCCAGACTCGGGTAGTTCCTTTAACTATAGAGTAAGGCTTTAGAGGGATAGGGTTAAGAATCAGTTTCCCTGGAGATGTTGCAAAAATTAACTGAAAGTCAAGCTCTGTTCTGTTACAGAATTTTGTTTTGAATTCAAAACCCACAAATCCCATTGCCATTTCTTTTGGTTAAAAAAATTGTATCTACTTCCTATTTCAGTTCTTAATCTTGAAATCAAGGGGCTTTTTTTTTACTAAGTGAAATGAATGTTTCAAAATGATGTAATATTATCAATGAGAAAGACAAGACTGATGCTAGACTATTGTATGTTTTAACCATTCTGAATTTCAAAAAAAAGTGAATGTCAGGTATTACTTTCAAAATGTTAAAATACTGCTAGTCTGTTTTCACTTATACTTTTTTTAAAAAAGAAAAGCTGGCTTCCATCTTTTTAACATGTGATAACTTTATATTTTTATGTGGAGTTTTTAATCTGTAAATCTGCATTTCAATAAATTATAAGATTATTTTGTAGTATGTGAGTTATTTTTTCTTCTAAAGAAGTAAAGATTGTTAAAGTAGCAAGCCGTCTGGATGGCAACCAAGCTGTAAGTGTTTCCACTACATGTTCTCAAAGTTCCCAATGTGACCACTGGCCCCAAAGGTTTGCCTGCCATTGTATTGGACTCTCTGTTTTGTATTTGTGAATTGACCCCAATCACCCAAATTCAAACAAGATCTAGCCAGATATATATGTCAATACGGCTCACTGAAATTCTTGATACATTCTGGGGTTCAACTTACATTCTATGTTCAACTTAGAACATAGATCATATCTTTCAGTTTTAATTTTGGATCTGTTGCTGCTTTTGCAGCTTGGTTTATTTTTTAGTTCCTAGCATTTGCAACTGATTTTATAAGCTGCATTGAATGACCTCAGGCATGGAAAGTTAGGGTATAAAGAGTTTAATAAAGAAAAAAGAGACAGCCCCATTTGAAAGAGGTATAAAAGGAGATCCTTGAAATAGATGGGTTTGATTGAAGGAGCTCTAGACTAGTGTGATGGTCATTCTACATACATGCACTAAATCACCTTTTCCCCTTTGAATCCAGATCACAGAGCAGCCCTTTATTTTTAATTTAAAATGAAAATCAACAATCAACCCTTAAGACCTGGCTTTCCCCCAAAACATTTGGAGCCAGTTGAGTGGTGTTCCCCTTTGATTGTTTTTTTGTAGTGTTTTGATTACCATTTCATATTCTATTTCATATTTATACAGTATATTGTGTATGTTTTAATGTTATATGATTCTTTTTGGTTTGTTTTTTGTCGTTGGACACTACCTGGAATCATATTGTTTGAGTAGCCTTATAAGTCTGGTAAATAAATAAATAAATAGTCCGTTGTAGAGGAAGGCTGGGCAGTTTTTTGTTTCTCTTTTGGGAAGAAGGAGGCTGGTTAGCCATTTGACCAAAACAACACAGATCCCCTTTTCCCAATTTTATCCACATTTGAAAATACAGATAGTCCTTGGCTTACAGCCATTCGTTCAGCAACAGTTCAAAGTTACAATGGCGCCAAATGAGTGATACTTATGACCAGTCCTCAGTGTTCTGGCCATTGCAGTGTCCCTGCAATCATGTGATTGTGACTTGGGCACTTAGTCGAGCTTGCAGTTATGACATTGCAATGGGCCAAAGTCATGTGATCCTGATTTCCGATGTTCCCTGCCAGCTTCCCACAAGCAAAGTCAGTAGGGAAGCTGGCAGGAAACCAGAAGTTACATTCACGCAAGGTGTTTGCTTAACGACCTCCGTGGTCCTTGCTTAATGACAACCAGGACTGCTGGAATTGTTTCATGAAGCAATTTAAATATTTTAACTTTGATGTTAAAGAAGACTCCTGAGGATACTATGGACAGCCAAGAAAACAAATGGATCATCGAACAAAACAAACCAGAGTTCTCACTCAAGAAAAAATGACCAGGTACAAATTATCCTACTTCGGACACATTATGCAAAGACCCAGCTCTGTGAAAAAGGCTATAGTGCTGGGAAAGGTGGAAGGAAAGAAAAAGAGGACGACCAGCAGCATTGTGGATGGACTCAGTTATAGTGGGGATAGATGCACTGTTGGAAGACCTCAAAAACCAGGTTAGGGATAGATCGTCATGGAGAAAATCTATGTGGTTGCTAAGAGGTGACACTGACTTGATGGGACATAATCAAAAGCTTTTATCTCATTGGTTAACGTAGGTAAAGGCCTTAAGTGCTATGCAAATATTTTTAGTAGCCAGACTATAATAGCATGCTAAGTCTTTGTCCCATGTATAATGTTAGCTAACTTGAAAGCATTTCAGCAGAATGGAACAGTTTAAAATCCTGTGGTGGTCTAGTTTCAGGTAACAATGAAATGTACAATGCAGTCTAACACCTGAAACTTGTGGTCTGAAAGTCAGAAATGTATGTTTATTTCCCAGCTCAGTTATGAAGATCATTGCTGGTCCTGAACAATTTCGCCTGATCAGTTTCATTAAGCAGTTTGCAAGCATTGAATAGCTAAGCTTCTGTGAGACACGTGTGTAATATAGCCCATTATACCTGAAAGAGTATTACTTGAACAATATTGGGGAGTCGCTCCCCCATGCACATCATTGATCTCCCAGAGAAAAGGCAGTCTATAAATGCAACAAATGCATAGACCATGTATCCACTGATGCCACAACCTATTTTAATTTGGCCCTGAAAAAGCAAACTGAGCATTCATTTATGCTCACAATGTGAAACAATATTTCCAACGCACAGTAGGTGGCAATCACAGAGTCAAGAATGGAGCAATGCTAGCGATAATAAATGACCTATGAAAATATCAAGACTCTTCATATCAATAGCTAACATGTCTGTCCAGGCCTTTGCCTTCCCATGTTTTATATTCCTTTAACTTTTTAATTAAATGTTTCTGTGCCAAAATCCAAGTTTAGTGTCACATTGTTCTCTCATTCCTTATTTTCTTAAATATAAGAAACTGCTTTTGCTACCACCTTAAAGTTTATCTAGTTTTATTTTAAGAATCAGAAGATAGTTTTGTCTTGCTTAAATTTCTTCAGTGGCAGCAACCATCTAAAAACAATTCTAATATTTTTTAAATTATAAAAACCCTAAATAAGCTTGAATTTCTCCAATTTTTTTAATGTGACGAATCTATTTCCCTATTTCATGCAGACATTTTAGTCCATGGAATTTAATCTTCGTATCTGTGCTTGTCTTTACTGCTCATGTCTTTCTGAACTGTGAGAAAACAATAACTTGGCAACTCCTAGGGAAACAGCCAAGAAGTGCAGTGTAGACATTGGTGGGCATTTCTGCTTATGTTAAACATGGGACTAATCTTTAATTAACAGGAAGTTCTTGAGGAGGCTTAGCTTCCTACTTCACTACTTCATTTCTCAGTCACTAGAGAATAGATGTTTTATAATGTAATGAAACACTTTCAGAGTGATAACCATTCACAAGCATGCTATCATAAATTACAAGCCCAGTTAATGAATGTTAATGTCAGAGGTTAGTAGCTTTGCCAGTTGCCCACAGTCACCCAGAATGGCCTATATTTTTTAAATAATTTGAAATCTTGTGTGATTTTTTCCTAATCATTGCAATATTTGGACTATTTAAAAATAAAAAAATAATTGGGGAGAAAGGCTGCAAAGGGGCGCCACAGTGCCTGGCTCAACTATCTTAAGATGTTAGAGATAACAGGATTTATGAGATTTATTTATGTATTTGCATCTACTAGCTGCCCAACTCCAATGGAGTCTGGCACCAAGATGGCAACTTTAGGGGATTTTATGTCTTGGACATTTGTGTACAATATGGTTTTGGTATTCTGAGGCCAGAATGCACTTGGTTGGTTGTACTTAATGCTGAAATGTTGGCCCCTGAAATCTTAGATTGCAATAAGTGTATTAAGGATTTTTGTTCTAATAGAAACCACTGATATTACTGATACTTCTGGAGAATAAACAAAGCCTGCTCTCATTCATAAAGGAATTCTAGCATCTTCCATGCCTATGGTCAAAAGTAATGAAAACAATCTCTTAAATGCTACTGGACTTAATAGCTTTAAAATAAAAAAGTTGGAAATTTTGAGAAATTCTTCATCAGCCTCAGAATATGATAAAATGCAGAAACTTTATCTGTTGAATACCTCACTACCATAATTCCTTAAGGTATTTTGATGCTAACAGATTGGTTAAGCCTCTGCTTTGTTCTGGGTATCTCAAACGTTTTATTGCTTGAATAGTGTGGGGAGGACCATACTGCCAAAAACGAGCGAGCCCAAAATAAAGTTGATGAGTCTACAATAAAAATCAAAATGCATATAAAATTAATACAGTAAAAATTAATTACTGTAAATGCAATGAACATGATATGTATCTAACTGTTTGCCTATCTGTGACTTTAAAAATACAGTTCCGTAACAACTTTGGAGGTAGTCGAAGAACCACATCCCGTGTTCTTTGCAGGAGGGCTGCAGCCCGTATACCTCTTTCTGAAGGTGTGACTGCTCAGTTTGTCTCACAACAATATGGGAATAGATGGTGCACCTACCTTGGTGCTATCAGCCTCCCAAAATAGATTTTAAGGTACTACAGTATATGCTACTAACTTATAAGGAACAAAACAGTTCTACAATAGACTTACAAGCATGTCTCCCTTCTGATGAATCCAGCTATGTAAATCATAAAGCAGCTATGCAGGAAGAGATGCAGTTAACTATGTAGACAATGTAAAGTTTATTACTTTGTACTGAGATAATATATTTCTGAAGAACACACACACAATTCTCATACATTTCAAAATTCAGAGGGCTAGAATTCATGCTGAGCTGAGCAAATCTTTCTAGCACATTTGGAACAGAAAAATGCTTTGTACTGGTGTAAATTATATATTTAAAGGATGGTAAACTATTTCTAATTAGGGGAGAAGAACAACATTTGAGGCAGTGACTTTACTAGTAAATACAGGATACTTTAAATAAAGCTACTCTTCACCATACCACATTACGTCAAATAAAATTCATCCCCTCTGGTTATTGTTGAATTTTTCAGCTATCTTCTGCAGTTCCAAATCCATAGCAGCCAGGTTTTCCAGTTCTTTCTCCTGTGATAGTGGAAAAGGAAATCCATGTAAATTATGACCTTACAGGCATAGATTACTTTTTATTCTGAGAATTTGACTGTTAGAAATGCATGTAATTGTGCTGCTTTGTGATCTTCGTCTTAAGAAGTGCTGGTACCTGTACATGGAGAGAAGTTAGATCTGATAATGGCTCATGCAAATATTATGTTTGTTTTTTTTAACCCCGGTGTGACCTTAGTTGCTTTTCTTGGCTCTTGCAACAGCTACATGTGCGCATACATGTGGGGACATCCAGGAGCCACTTCCACAGCAGCCATGCACATCTTGCAAACAATACAGCTGTTTAATTATTCCAAAATAGGTGTTTTGCATGCAGTCCTGCACATTACTAAGTACCTCTTTCAAAGGTTTCTCATATCCCCTATTTAAGATCAGCAAATTAAATCCTCCTGCCCAACTTAAGACTGGGAAACACTAAATTGTAGTAAGTTGCTTTACATGTACAAGACAGGCAGGAAAGCCACCTGGGCCTCCAAGGGCTGAAGTGCGGTATGATATGAGTTGTACTTTGGAAAAGACTGGAGGACATGGATTCCCCACACCAATTTTTTTTATAAGATAGGCTCTGGGGCAAAATACTACATGACTAGAAGGATCTATCTTAAATAAAACTTGATTTTAAAGTTTTATTTTAAAACTTTGGAAACTTCATGGGGAAGTAACTTTGGAAACTTACTTCATTTATGTGCATGTTTAAAGAGGGTAGGTGAAGAAATTGATCAGAGAAAAGCACTCAAGATCCAACTATAAGAGCTAAACATTCTATCTCATTAGATTTTAATTATTTACATGGCACTTATTTGCAAAATACTTGTAAGATGTGTTTTTATTGCAATAAATTACAATGTATTATAGATAATTTTGTAAGTGCACGATCTCATAGATTATTATTTTTTATTTTAATCCAGATTATCTCCATTCTATGAGTAAGCTATACTCAGGGTCCACTTTTTCCATTAAAATCCTAGTTCCTCAGAAACCACATCCCAAACTTCACTCAAGAAAACTGAGAAAGGAAATGTAGGATAGAGCTTCTAAATACTCATCATAGATTCTATTTTTATTATTCATATGATCCTCTTCTGTAAGGAGACTCTACGATGAAATTCATCTTGCTTTCCATCAAAGCATAGTGATGATTCCTAAACATGGAGATCAACCATATAATGTTAACGTGTGCCATTATAGCATTTGTGTAATAACTCCTGTTTTGTGAGTTTGCTTAGTATATATAGGGAACTGCAGTTTGTCTAGGGATCAGTTTGTAAGTGCCAGTTGTTGGTTACATTTTGCCAAAATGATCAGAAATCATCTTCATGCTTTCCTCTCTGCATCCACATAGTTAGTGTTAGGAATATTTGGCACTGTCCAATTAGGGTTTCTCCAGGATATCAATTTATAGTATTTATAGTATGGTAGTTATGCCACTACGTGCACACTTGCCTGTTCAGTTATTTCAGTGAGACATATTGTACCACATTGTGTAATATTGAAAGTCAGGATGCGTCACTCCTGACAACGTAGGCAGCTTGGTAGAAATCTGAGAACTTCTAAATAGGAAGTATGGTAGGAAATGAGGCCTGCGGCCCAGAATTACCAACAGATCTAAAATGAAAATGTGGTTAAGAAGTGTACTTAATTTTAAAGAGAGGTTGCTATTGTGATGATGTAGTGTTGGGTGTCATGCAACTAAGCACATATGTATATACACAGATGTATCTTGAGTACGGCTTAGATTATGTGGCTGGCCAGGGTCAAAGTATTCCTCATTCAACACTTTGGTTAGTCCTCATCCATATTACAGGGAACTCAAATTGAAAAACTTGGTGAATACCTTGGAAGCAGTGCTTAAGGGGAACATAAAATACTTGCCTGTCTTAGCAGCAGATACCAGTCCAGAAACACATGCTATTTTAACAGGATCCATTTAAAGCAAGAAGAGCGAGCTAGTGGTTTACAGTCTGGATCCCCTTGTTAAACAACATGTATGCCTTCCAGGAGCCTGATCACATTTTTTTCAGGTATTTTGTAAGAAATGAAACCAGAACCAAGGGTTTGCTCTAGCTTTGTCTATAACTGTGAAGATTATTACAGATTACCCCCAGAAGAAAGTAGTTCTTTGCAGAAATCAGTCACCTATCCTTGCCTTAACCATCCTCATAAAGACAAGAGGACACATGAAATGTCATTTGTACATTATCTTAAAAACAAAAAAAATCAGAGCTTTTCTCACATACAGTTTAATCTTCTGGCCAAGGCCTTGCCATGCCATGACTGACAAGTCGATTTAAACAAGAACTAAGTTGATTGTGTAATCCTAGATACATTCACTTTAAAATAAGTTCCACTGAACCTAACAAGTTTTACTCTAAGTAAATCACAACTGAAGCCTTTGATTGACAGCTTCCTAGATATTTTTAACACTCAGGGTCTTTTCTCCCCTTCTCTTAAGATCCAGTTTTGCTGACAATTTCAACAGGGTAATCATGAAGCAACTTCAACAGGTTGTGTAATTCCAGTGAAGTACAAATGTAAATGATACCTAGAGACAGAGGAGGCTAAGTGAAAGACAGCTAAAGCCAGATTATTAACTGGAACACACTGACGGTCTTGTAGGTCATTTGAATGTGAAGTCTGAATTGATAGGGCTTCATACTTTTTGATCACATAAGAAGTTATGAAACTGTGAATATAATCCTAGTGTATTATCATGTTTCATCTAGCCATATATTATTTTGCTGAAATAAAATATTTTTTAGAAAAGAATTGTTCTAGCTTTCTTAAAAATCATAAAATAAATACCTCTTCTGGTGTCAGAGGCCTCTGATTAAATTTGTCCTTGCCACTTCTTATTATGTGTCCCCTTTCAATGTCTTCTTTTGAGCTGTACAATTCTGGAAATTCTGCAGATTTCTTCCGGTAGCTCAGAAGATGGGCCAGCTCATCCATTCTGTCATACTGCCTTTTTACCTCAGGTTTATATAGCCTCTCAGGATTGTTACTGTTGTCCTGCTTGTGATTTAAGCCATCCAGGATCTGCTTCTTCTCCCACAAATCATAATCGTTATACTCGGGGAAGAACTCCTCCTTATTCAAGCGGGACTTGCGTTCTTCTTCACTCTCCAACAATGGATCGAGGATATCAGCTTTCTTGTCCACAGATCTGTTTTTCCACCTGGGCTGCTGGTAATAATATGGATTTAAAGCTCTTTTCACATTTTCTACAAGATAGTGGCTTCTTGGGTAGCCCTCCTCTAACAGAAGAGTCCTTTTATTATCAAAGTGCTTTCCTCTCTCACTGTAGTGTGTAGTTTCCAGCTCTCCTTCACCAATACTAGGATAGTGCTTTTCTTCCCTGGCTTCTTGGCTGTTGAGTCTTCGCTCTCCATCTTCTCTCTCTTTGCTTAGTGGTTTTGGCATCTCCTCTAGCTGTACATTTGATTGGTCATGGTGCCTCTTCTCATCTATGCTGTCATAACTTTGTTTCTTGCCTCCATTTTCCTCCCTTGCTTTGCTGTAAGGCATCCTTACTTCATAGTGATGATGTCTGATCGCCCTTGATGGTCCACCAAAAAGTCTTTTCCTCATATACTGGTACTGTTTCCTTTCATTTTCCCTACTGTGATGCTTCATGTCTTCATCGTTGTCCTCTTGGCTGTTATAGTGTTGGTCCCAATATCCTTTACTCTTGCTCTCTCTCTCCATTTCCTCAGACCTATGCATCTCAATAGAGTTTCTTGGCTCCACAAAGTAATGTCCTCTCTCATAAAAATGGTTGGGGTGATGGCTCCTTTTATCCCAGAATTCACTTTCTTCCTCACTAAGTTCTTCAGGTGAGTCCCTCTTTTCACCGTTATGATGACTGTTGTATTCAGAGGACTTACCCAGTCTTGGTTTCCTTCGATAATGTCCTGATTTGTGGTCTTGTTTCTCTGTTTCACCATCTTCCCTCTCTGAAGAATCTTCAAATTCTTCATGAAAACTATGATGATACTTTTCATTGCTCTCCTCCTCCTCTTCCTCCTCTTCCTTTTCTTCCTCCTCTTCCTCTTCTTCCTTGCTGTCTTCATTTTCCCTTTCTTGACTTTGAATTATTTCTTCCACATACTTTTGGCCATGAGAATGCTTGTAATCATCCTCATTCACTTTTCCAGATGTAAGAATGGATTTTTTCTCTAGAAGCTCAGATTCTACTTCTTCACTGGCTTTCTTTTCTTTGCCTCCATCTCCATTATGGTGATTTCTTTTATCATTATCTTCCTCAGTTTCTTTTTCATTCTCATTCTTTTTGTCTTCTTTATGGGCTCTATCCAAAGCATAAGGAGTCCCTTGGGAGGCAGTTTGTTGGTGACTGCTTCCCCCATGTTTTTTTGCCTCCAGATGCCACTTAGCATCTCCTTCTGCCTGTCTTTTAAACTCTTCTTCACTCACATCTTGTTCTTCCCTCACAGTCCCTTCTGACTGCTTACTTAATTCTTCTGATTCAGATAAGGTTCTTGTGTCAAGTTCCATGTTTTGGTGTATATTTTGCTCTTTTTGTTTTTGTTGATCACCTGAAACAAAACAAATAATCTGTAGATTCTTCATTATGATGCCATTATGTTTTCACTTTCATTATGGGCTACCTGCCTTCTGTCACTCACTTTTGCTCATTTTCCCCTTTTGTTGTCTTAGTAGTTCAGGACCACCCAAAGAAGATCAACAACCATGGAATATTTTCTTTGGACTATTATTACCTTATGCATACCTCACAATGGTCAGTGGTGACTCCATCACTTGCTCACTATTCCTCCAACAGCCCCTCAACTCTCACCTGGCAAAAGCCATTCCATCAAGCTGTAGCAAAGAAAGCAAAGGGGCTCTTCTATGGGCACTATGGGGAGAAACCAGCAATTTTTGAATCTGTATTCACAGTTTGAATGGATACAAATATTTAACCTGACCTAGAAAGAATCGTCTCACAGAATGCATATGGAGGACTACTTGCTCTTGTAAGAGCAACCCCCTGTTACAAGTGTTCTTGCATATGAACGTTTATCTGTCAAGAAGAGCTTAGGTAAGTTTGCCACTTTAGTTTGCACTTGACCAGAACATGGAAGTCCATATTTTTGATGGATAAGGTAATTATTACGATTGTATGTTTGTATGCCGATTCATTCCCCCTTTTAAACTAAATTTTGCACCAAAACTTTAATCCAGATTTATTTATCACTTGAATTGTTTTATGAATCCCATGCCATAATATGAACAGTTCTTAGCACAAACTTCCTGGGCAAGCACTAAGGGGTTAGGAGTAGGTGGATCTCCAGCCCAAATTAATCCCATTTTTACATATTCATCATCATGTTTTCTATTCAGACTTTTCTCTTTGTGCTGCTTGCGCAAGAGCAGAATTCCATTTAGCACAGTGCATGTGGTCTTACAGTCAGTAACTGCACTTGGAACCTATTAACTCTTGTCACTTTCCTGAATGTTAGTACTCACAAAGCTATTTGTATTAACACCTGTGTTCTTCAATGAACCAGTTTTCAGACATTGATTCATTCTTGCTAACTAGCTGACCAGCGGAGCATGCAAAAAGGCAGGGATGGAGATGGTGAGCAGCATCTTGCCACTGATTGTCAGTGTACACAAGGAGGTGGGGCTAAGGCAACAAGTGGGCTCTGGCCCATGAATGTGGGGAGACTGCAGCGGACTACCTGGTGGACCTCCATGGACTGCGGACTACAACTTGAGAATCACTGTTCTAATCAAACAATAAGAAAGTGATTAGAGTTATGGATTAGGATTCCCAGTAATCCAGAAGAGTAATCAATTGTTGGGCTACTTACCATTCATTGGAGCAGTTGCTATGATTCAGCCTTACCTACTGCATCCAAAATAAAATTGAAGGGAAGCTGCCCCATAGCTTCTTGGAAGAAAGGCAGGATTTAAATGTAATAAATGAAACAGCCATGCATTGCAAAGAAGTAACTGGGTGGAAAAATCATTTGAGTTTTCAAACATGATAAGATGATTAAAAAATATATATGACAATATCACAAATATGGTTCCTCAGAAAAGAAGCAATGGATTTGATTGCCTTCATAATGTGCTGGCTGGGAAGCTTCACTTTCCCAGAAATGCCTCTGACTACCTTCTGTACAAAGTGCCTTTGAAGAAACACAGTTTCTTCAAATGTTGCTGAACTACAGTTCTCAGCAACCCCCACTAGTAAAGGTAAAACGTGCTGGGAGTTGTCATTCAGCAATCTTGGAAGTCTCCCAGTCCACATTACAGTACAAAAATATTACAACATTATGTAATATTCAACTTATATAAAGTCTGGTAGTGGGAAGTATGTTAGGTTCTTTTAAGATACACACTTACTTTTCTTCAGAAGCTCCTTACATTGTGGATTAATAAGTGGAGCATTGGCTTTTGACAGACTATTCAAAAGGACTTCTATAATACATCGGGTTATCTAGAGAAAAAGCAATGAAGATGATTCATTTAGTTTTGAAATATTCTGTTCCAACTGAATATTCAAGCTGATTAACATCATAAACATGGAAAACAATAGCAATGTTATGACTAGAAGATTCCAAGTTAGTCAGTAATCCTGAGGCAAAGAAAATTAAATCTCTAAGTTATTTAACAGTTGCTCAAAAAATAAAAAATATCCATCTAAATAATAGCACCTTTGTTTCTACCATCAAAATATAAAACAGGAGGAGGAAATCCAAAAGTTTAGGCCACAAGATTTCCAAAGCATGAGTGCCACCAGAGAAAATTATTTTTTTTACATGCCTTACCACTGTAACTCATTTCAATGGGTTTCTGGTCCCACATGGAAAGCTCAGCCCTATTTTTTTAGTATCCAATGCCCCAGAGAGTCATGCTGCTGAATTTCTGGTCAAGATGGCCCTGTGGCCAGCAGGCCATCAACATTCTCTGCACTCCTCACTACCCCATCTTCTTCCTGCGCTGACCTCAATGTTAGCATCTACTAAGAAAGATGTGGTGGTCATGTGTTTTGAGAAGGGAGAGAATATAAAAGTTTTAAAAATATATATTAACATTGTAAGTACCAAAGTAGATGTGTTAGTAGAATATCCCATATTGTACTATTAAGTAGTGCACAAGACCACTTGCTTTTTTTCCCCATAAGATATGGCTAAATTAATTGTAGGACACTTATGGAAGGTCTCTCATATAGGATACCATCATTTGGACTTGCCATGAAATACTGTGAAATGAGACAGGACAGGCTGCTGGGATTCCCATGACTGCAGTTGGACTTAAGGAGTCTAAGTTTTTGTGTTCCTGTTTTAACAATAAAATCCTTGAGATGTACCTACTCAGAAGAAAGTCATAAAGACCTCAGGAGGTTTATCCCTAAATAAATTAGTGTTAGATTGCAGTCAAAGTGGAATGCAGTGTCCAGTGGGCTGTACCAATCATGTGAGGGAATTCCATCATCATCACTAATCAATCCTGCTCCCTGAAAGCATCAGAGGACCCTCGGGAAAGTCCCAGGCTGTCAGGTGGGAAGGAAAAAAGAAGAACCGAATGGAAGCAAGGCCTACCTCAACCCAGTTTTCTTGAAGCATTTTCTAATTCTAGCCACTTATCAGATATTTTAAAAACCCCTTTGACTCTTAGGAGAGATTTGGTTGACAACAGAATGTGAGAAGAGGTTGAAGAATTCCCTTGCATGAACATCCTTACGGAAATGCCGCATTGGACACAACCCAGAAAAAGCACATGGGCCTACCCAAAACTTTCATGAGAGCAGAGGAGGCAAACAAGTACACTAAATTCTCTTGTTACAAAAGATTCCTGACCCTGTCCCTCACTAAATTGTTCTGAAGGCTCCATCCTCCAAACCAAGGAGCTCTTATCCACTAAACATGGTGGTGCCTACGTATAAGGCACTTTGTATGTCTCTGGAACATGCAAGGATTTCTAATAATCTGTGAAATGTGACCTAATAAATTTCACTTTTCAGATGAATAAGATTTTTCTGCTCACCATTTCTCCAGTATGATCATCATTTTCCACTGGGGCTGAATGAATACCTTCAAAGCAAAAAATAAAAATAAAAAAAAAATCAGAAGAGAGTTTGAAATCACCGCTTTGGAAAAGATGACTGTATCTTTAAACTCGCTATGGAAAGTGCTTTGGTTATACTGAACATTTGTTGCATTTGAAAGCACTTGTTTCATCAGAGGATAATCTTCATGCCCTAGATTTAGGGTTCCCATATCCCTGTTTGCACAAGCAGACTCTCTGCTTCTTCTGATTTAACAAATTCTCTTTATTTAAAAAAGATACTCCTGGGAGGTTAGCCAAATACTAGCTAGCAGCATCCTCTTTATTTCCAATAGTGCAGAAACTGCAGCTTCATACATTTGGGAGCCTACCAGCCAAGTGTGACAGAGAGCAGCCTGATGTGGTTATTTGGGTTGCCCAATACGTATATGCAGTGATGCATTTGTGTACAGTGAAAATGCATCAACACTGCTGTTTGCTGTGATGATGATTCGCAGAGCTAAAGCAGCAACTTGTTCCGAGTCTTTGAAGAAGCTCTCTCCTTCCCCCCCCCCCCCGCCACCTATGGATACCCACACGTGAGGAATACGCACACAAACACACAGAGAGATGTATGTGATTTATTTTGTTTGGTTCCAGTGAGTATGTATTATTTCTCTCCTTTTATAACTGTATGCTTAATTATTTAGATGGTTCTCCCTCCCAGTATGAAACCTATTAGTTTGCCACCCTTATTTGCCGTTCATAGTTAAGCTCATTTATCTCATGTTATGACATTCCATTATTAATAAAGAATATTATTATGATTATATTATTATTCTGCTAGGATGATTGTACAAAGCCTTTTTAAAAGGTTCCCCGGATTGAAATCATAACAGCCACTGTGGAGCAAGAAAGAAAGTATGATCAACTAAATATCAATATAATCTTTTAACTTTCACATTGTTTGTGAATTATGATGGTAGCAATGCAAAAGTCCCTTGTAAGTTATGGGACGGCATTAGGAATGACTCTTTCCACACCTTGGTGTGTCAAGGGGAGCGCTGGATTTGTTGCCTGCCTCTGTGTGTGAAATCGCCCGATCCTCTGCCTTCTTTCCCGCGTGGGTGCCTGGCTTCCTCTGCAATGCAGGCAGTAGGAAGCACCAGCATGCGCAAATGGATCTGCTCACACAGTTTAATCATGAATGAACATCCACCAGGCAGCCATCCATCACGTCAGACACTAATTGGTCGTGCAAACCCCATGGGTGCCACCCAGGCTCTGTTTAGAAGAGCAGGTGCCATAATTTCTTGCCCTCGCCCCAAAATCAGCTTGTAGCTTCGATGCTACAAAGGCCTGAATTATACTTTTGGAGAGAAAACGAAAACAGCATTTACAGCCCTGTTGGATCGTTCCAGAGCTCCAGCGTCTTCCAAATGACACTGTCTATCAAACAATGTGCAGTGATAGGACATGATATTTGATCTTTCATGAAGGAGGAAACAATGCAGTGTCAGAGCAAATTAGAAAGGGCTTTGAATAAAACATTGGAGAAACCCCTTGGGCACTTGGCATGTGTTCCGCTTTTCCTAGCATTTATCCTCTGGTAGATTGCTTTTACACCAACATATTTGTCATCTCTCACCAGGGCTGCCAGTGGTATGTGAGGAAGCTCATCCTCGGGTTAAAGGGCCTTGTTCATCTTCAGTAATTTATATGGGGAAGCTGGTTTGGTCCTGATAGTTACAGATCACGATCTAGAGTGAAAAATGCCAACATGCAGCCACCTACCTCCCCACAACTATGTAGAACCCCATAATTTCTCCCTTTCCTGAGCTATGAATAGGCAAACCACCCCCTGCATGAAGCCCCCCAATTCTATTTTGGGATACCTCCCTCCCCAATCCTTCTGTACTCATCAGGACTGAAATGTTGCAGTTGTTTAAATGTGCGTCAGTGTTTTTTGATGGATGCTTCTTCATTATTTAAAAGCACTACAAGCATTAATGGCACACATGGTATCAATTTTTTTCTATTATTATTAGGGTTGGTTGCACAGTCAGCCAGATGTTTAGACTGGATTTGGCATTTTTATC